AAGTATTCAAAACATTATCTGAACCTCTCTAATTTACATTGGATTTAAAAATATTCTTCGTCTGATATCATGACTGTTCAGTACAATGAAAAGGGTTGAAATGAAATCATCACCATGTGGTTTCATGTTCACTAGTCCATGAATAAATGGGGTGTTCGGTTAGGCCATTGTTTTGTGTCACGGTTGGATATTTGAATGGGCTACATCCTATTGTATTACAGCAAGTTGGATATTTGAATGGGTAAATGTTTCTTTGGGGCCCAAGGTAGGGAATTTTTTTAAGTAAGATAAATAACTCGATAGTGTTGAATAGTTTAAAAACATCCCCTCACACACACTTCGGCCCTCGGAGAGAATGTTTTCTCTAAACTATTCAACACCATCTCGTTATTTATCCCTTACTTAAGATATCACAAAATGGTTATAAATAGCCTCTTTATTTGTGTTACATGAATTTTTTTAATTAATTTTTGACTTGTCTTATATAGAAAACAATCACACCCCTATTAATGTTATTGTCATTTAAATTCAAGACACGTGGTTTAGGTTGATCTATTCAAAGGTTATAGGGTAGAACCGGTTTTATAAATAAAATTTGCAGTAAACAGGATATTGCTATAGCCTGTTTCTTTTAAAAACGTCCTGTAATAAATGTTTCCAGATCTTTCTGAAAGAAGCTTTCATGATTTTCAACAGAAAGGGGATGGCTAAAGGAGGGGGTTTTAAAATAACAATATTTCTTATACTTTTCGGCGAAAATAAGAGCTCATTAGTGACTGATTCGCCGGTAAAAAATGTATTTTATCATCTAAACTGACAAATCTTTGTTTGCCTTATATGGCTTTTGTTATAAATGCGCACAGAGGATCTTACCACGAGCAACTGACCAATCGTTGGAATGAATAGCAATGTTTACGCCAAATACATGTTTACATTTTACTTCGAACACGTGGTTCGGGTCAATCTATGATCATGTCAATGCAATACAAAATAATTAAAAAAATGTTCTTAAGAACAAAATACAAAGATAAGAAACTATGAAAGATGTTACGGGCGTTTTTAATTTATTGTTTACTGGAAAAATGTTTAATAAAATGTAGTTTGTGTCTAGTTCAGAACACCAGCGCTTGAAGGGTAAGTAAAACGAGCAGCATCTCATATGCATTTAAAGGGACAAAACTTTGTTTATGTTCGTGATCACGTGTTTGGCCAGGGAATTCACCTGGCAATTGTATTCACCGATAGTACAACAAAGGAATTAATACAGACGCAAATCGTTTTTGCAGTATGACTTTCAGAAACCTAAACTTCCACCGTTTATTGAACAAATGAATTGTTTGTCATTAAGAGCATGACCATAATATTTTTTTTAAATGCTTTTTTTTATTTACAATAAGATTTTTCTTTTTTCAAGCGTAAAATTCCTGTAGTATTCGTAGTAACCCATAATGCAATACTCATACAGCTGATTGGTCAGTTAAAATCATGCTGGTGCCTTATTTGCTAATCTGACGCCAAAAAATATAGTCCCGGTTCCCATGCAAAAATATTTTTCCAAAAAGAAATTTTAATTCATGACTGCAGAAAATTGTATTATAAAGAATACTTATTTAAGTTTGAATGAATGTAAGAGAGATCGATTGATTGAAGTACATTTCTACAGACATTATCAGATGATTCTAGGGTGGTAAAAACTGGAACGCAACATAACTTTTCTGTTTACCATGTCTCCACGTGCTAGTCACTTCCTAGCCACATTTCCGTGAATAATTTACCCTATCTCGCTGAAGTCTCGCTAACTCTCGCCAGAGCCACTACCAGAGCTACTCTGAACTCATCGGGTCTTATAATTTGCAGAACACCGAAAAATAACAGGTTCGGAACACATTAGTACGGGTGAATCATTTTAATCCGAACACTTTATATCAGAGTTTATGTCATTTTAACCTTGGTCCGTGCGCACGCTCCACGACCTTTAAAGACCCCGATTTTTACAAAAATATTACCTTCCATCAATAGAAATTATACTATTGCGATTTGTTTTTTCATAAGAAACATTTTGATACACAAAAGATTTATACAGAACCACTTCAAAAAAACTTCATTGTCCACGAACTTTTTGGACAACCCTCATACACTGTATGTGTATAAGCAGTGAAATTGCCCAGAAATGCTCAGTATTTTATATTTCTTGAAGATTGTTCTTGAACAAGGGAAGTTGGCAAACTTGGAAGGCAGTATAAGGCTGACGTTTTACGTGTTAATAGCTTATAAATTTGTAAAGAATCCAGATGTTAAAAATAATATATGAACTTTAATATATGAACTATTTATATGCCTTTCATGCCTTTCATGACTTTCAATTGTGCTATTGTTGCTTTTAAAAAACACATTTTTAGAAATTCTGAGTTATTAAAACCAGATCCGATCACCCCAAAAGGTACATGTATTAAGAACTCGGAAATTATTATTTTTTTATGTTACCTCAAATTATTGATGGATGATTGATTCCCGTTTTATTGATATGAAAATTTTAAATAGTTTAATAATTTTACCCTAATATTTGCATGGTTGTTTTAAGGACCACTTTTTATCTTTAATAACTGTTTATGCGCAGTCTTGTGATTCTGGAAACCAGACAAGACCGGAACATACTAGAAAGTTCCTTCGGTTTTATGAAAATATGTCACTATAATTAATTTTCTGTATGGAATGAGCACTTCCCAATAAAGAAATAAGAATCTCCGCTTAGTACACAGTGTTTGATTTAAGAATAGATAAAAAAAATATTTTGTAAATGTCTTGATTGGCAAAACAATACGTAAAATGTCGGCTTGATATTGCAACCCATTTTTTTACAATTTGGAAAATAGAAAAAGACCCCAAAAATCCAATTTATGGACATTTTCAAAATATTAATTTATATATATTAATTATAGTAATTTTACAATGAATAACCATAAACATCTGGGACGTAACAATGTTTTTATAAGGCATCCAGAGAAAAACAATAACTTACATAAAAACACCCTTGACACACACCCGGCCCCCCAACAGGACGGCTGCATTTCATTTCCGGAATTTTGGGTAATTATCAACTTTTCATTTCCGACATTTTTTATTTTTCATTTCCGACATTTTTTTGTTTTCATTTCCAACATTTTTCAAATACATATTATGTAGTACTTTTAGTAACATATTTGAATATTTTACTCATTAAAGATTTTAAGAAAAAGTTTATAAATAGATCATTGAAGTTCTTTATCTGAGTTTTGTAATTAAAATCTATCAATGACTTGGACAGCGTGGTGCTGTTGTCACTGACATTTAATTTAATGCACATTAGATGTGGTGAAAAAGTTTATGCTCATTGCACTCTTTTACCTAGACTTAGTGCCACATGTATGCATATATGTGTAGATGTTTTTTTTTTTTTTATCTTTTATCAATATTTTGTAATAAATACTTTTAAAATTCCATTCTCACTTACTCAGAAAACATTGAATTGCCGCACAGGTAAATTCCGGAAATGAAAACAAAATTATGTCGGAAATGAAAACAAAAAATGTCGGAAATGAAATAAATAAATGTCGGAAATGCTATGCATATTTCCGGAAATGAAATGCAGCGAACATGACTTTTTTAAAGTTCGAAAATTCCATTTTGAGTGGGGGGGGGGGGACTTCTTACAGTGCCAAAATTTACTCATACACCCAACAACCTTAATTGACTATAAACTGCAGCAAAATTTGGGGAGAGACAAGACTTTAAAAGAATATATCTAGAAAGTGAGCCCCCCTCCGCCACCTGTGTCATATAGTGAAACTTGCGGACGTCTAGCCCTATAGTAAGATATATATAGTAAAAAATATTGTGAGATATACTGTGAATAGTGAAATTTAAATTAAACAGGTGCATTAGAAGGTGACGGGTAGGTTCCCTCCGACTACGTATTCGCGCCGAGTGGTATCGCGCTGAGTGGTTTTGCCCCGTTTAACCACAGGGTATACGTATTATATGTTCTTCTATTAAGTCATTTATGTTACACACATGCAGCAGTAATTAAATTATTAAATATTTGTTATCTGATATAGAGTGAAATTCTTCACAAATTCAAAATTAATCCACAATGAAATGTAATGCAATATATCGATTCATTTATTTAAATAGACAAATGAATAGGGCCTATATAAATAGATAAATATATTTGACATTCCCTATATTTTTTTAGTCCAAAATGAATACTTACAGTTTATTGATGAATACATCATTGGATACAGAGGTCTACATGTAGCCTTTGAAAAAAAAAATAGTAATACCGAATAAAACTTTCGGAAAAAAAAAACACAAAGGCGGCCTTTCATCTTTAATATTTATTAAGCTGCTCATCAATAGTGTACTGATCTTACGACCATCCGACATTAATTATCGGTATACCCAATTTGGGCGAATCCACTCAGCGCGAACAAGTTATAGGAGCGAAACCACTCAGAGCGAACAAGGAATCGGCACGAAACCACCCGCATTCCATTAAAAATGTATCGTGCACAGCAAATTATTCTATTGTTCTAAGACAATTTTTTTCAAAAGAACAAAAAAGTACACTAATTAGTTTAACAGGAAAGAGTTAAATACCAATGGACTTGTGGAGTATATGTTTTACTGTATGGTTAAGATGTTTTAAGTATAAATTCATGTAGATAGGACAGTGAACCTTTATCTGAACACTGAAAAAAATTGTATATAAACGTATATTTATAATAAAAACAAGATGAATTTCTGAAACACTATGTGCTTGGTGGGAAGAAAGTTCGCAAAAGCTCTTTTAGCAAATAGATCACAATCAAAGTCACAAGGTCATTGATCTTGATGTCATCTTGGTGTCATTTGAAAAAACTTGATAAGTAGCGTAGGCATACCAAATATGAAGTCTCTATCTCTTATGGTTCAAAGGTAATGCCGAAGGTCGAAAAGATATTTTTAGGCATACTTATAACAAAAATATCGTTTTTTAATTTCTACCCATCAAAGATAAATGTGCTACTGAGGTTTGCATGGACAATAAAATTGATATTAATAAAGAACTGAGGGAAAGAATAAATTTTACAAATGGACCCGATGGATTGCGCGTTCGCTTCAAACCCGGCCTCTTTAGCTTTGGGTGCAGGTTTGTTACACAAGTTCACTTTTATTTTAATAAAGTATTTTTCTCTATCTCTATTCTTGCCTTCTAGTAAATATCAATATTAAGTTTTACCTTTTGAAATTCAATGCAAAAACCTGAAAAGAATGATAAATATTCTGAGGATGTGTGCATTCAATAGTTCTTAATAGTTAATATATGTAGCATAATTTGCAATCTAGTTCCAATTTGCCTGATGTTTCGTGTATTTATCCCTCTCCTAAAAAAAAAAACAACACCAAATTATGGAATGTTCTTATGAAAGAAAAAAAATGAAATAAGTGTTTTAACAGTTTGAATAAAAAACCAGAAGAAATATTTTTGAGTATATCTTTATAAATATCTTATAGATAAAAGGTTCTTAAGGTAAGTCACTCGTCAGCTTTTTAGAAAAGCTCACGCAGAACCTCTTACTTAGAAAATATTTATTAAAATTCAATTGTTATAAAATATTTATATTCAACAATGTAAATTTTTTAACATTCATCGAAAAAACTGCCTAAAAATATACAAAGAAGCAAGATTAATGAGGGACTATTTCTTGTGGTGGAAGGATATTCAGCAGAAATTTCTGCAAATCTGCACATTTATTAAATTTAATGTCTTGAAACTTTAGCCTCACATACTTTTACTCGGAGAATATTTTCCGTTATGATTTTGCAGGAATATTTAATATAGGTCTTAATTCATATTTTTAGAACAAGTTTTACACCTTCCTTCAACAAACTTTGCCAAGAAATGAAGATATATTAAAGAAGTCAAGATAAAATTTACACCATTTTTTGCCTGAAAATCACATATTTTGACCAATATTTCAAAATTAACATCACTGACCCAAACTTTTTCTTTCATTATTTTAAACTACTCGATACTTGTGACTGATCAGCACTTAACTCCTAAAAAGCTTGATATAAGAAAATATTTTATTGCTATTTAGTTTTTTAATACCCCAAATGTGTATTTTTTTTAGTGCAAAAAGGTCACACAATAATAAACGCGCATTAATTTGCAAGATTTGTTCAATGATAAATATTATTCAAACTGTTTTATGTAAAATAAGATTAAATTTATTAATGTAGTATCATCTGATAAAATAAAATTAGAGATAAAGTAATAAATCAAAGAGTTAAAATTTAAGTGCAAAAAGGTCAACTTAATTGTACCATAGATCAGTAAGATGCACACTGACCCCCTATTTTCTCTGCGATTTTGAGTCATACTATATGAGTACTTATCCAAAATATACTTTCCAAAAATTCCTTGATATAACAAATTTGAGGAGTGACTTACCTTAATGTTATTTAAAGAAGCAGAAAACCATTTTGCATTAAATTTGCCCTTAATGTAACGAACATGAAACAGTGAAATACAATAGAAAAGTTAGGAATTTATTGGACATATTGTATGAAACCAAGAACGTAATTATAATCAAGTTCATATATTGGTATTTTCTTGGTGAAAATTTCACGCGCATGCACGTGCACTTCGAAACTACAGTCTCAATATCTTTCTTGTTTTTTGACGAATCCTTTGAAATTTTGAAGATTTACAAGTATAAATCTGCCTTACCTGTTGGAACTTCTCATCACGTTTTAGCTACCTTGACATGTACAAGGCTTGTGTACCTACTGGGTTGGATCCATGTATTCCCATAGAGTACCGACAGAGAGCGAAGGAATTTTTTGAAGCTTACGATGACATTGCATGTACCAAAGACGATAGTAAGCATGGTGATTCTTAGAATTTTTGAAAAATAGATAAAGGATTCTAGTTGCTGGGGTTTATTTTTCTTTTAATCTGAACAAAGGTAAGAAAAAAATATTTTCAATTAAGTGTATGCCTTTTTTCTCTCATTTTTTAAAAAGAATTTTTACGAGGAGACATAATGATCTAATTCAATTTACTTCAGACCTTTTTTTATTAGAAAAAGTATAATGCTGTTTTATTTTCTCTATAAAACATGGCTAAATATAGCATATATAAATATTATATTAATATTAATTTCTTTTATTATACTTTCATGTTAAATACTAAAATCTGATTGGTTTAAACGCAGTTAACAATCCGTTCTATTACCCTCAGCCTTAGCAACACACGTGGCAACGGGTAACACAACGGTAATGCCACATGCGTGGAAATTATGCGCGTACGGTTCACTGCAGAATTTTCCATACGTCAGTTGCGCGTTTAAAAGAACCGAAATAAACTTGATGTAAATAAAAGCTTGTGTCTGATGTAGCTTACTTAAAAACAACAAACGACAGACTAAACATGCTAGATTACGAAAGTTTAGATGATAAAGGACTCTTATAGTATCAAATAAACAATAAAGAGGTTACTAAATCTTTTTAGAAGTAGCGGGGAGTTTGAAAGCTTTCTATAAATGTGACGTAAAGACAATCGACGATTTTTTTTACAGGCATCTTTTAATCAAAAATGATATTCAGTATAATAAAATAAATGGTGCCTGTTTTGGAGGGTAACAGTTGAAATTGACACCCCAAGGAAAACCATTGTCAACCGACGCGTAAGCGGAGGCTTACGCGTCGGTTGACAATGGTTTTCTGAGGGGTGTCAATTTCAACTGTTACCCTCCAAAACAGGCACCCTTTATATACTATATTGGAGAAAATTTGCTAAGCAGGAGGTAATATACATGCATATAGATACAACTGATACATATTAAATGTGATCAAGCAAGATACATTCATTTTCAAAACACGCATTTCGATACCAATATGCCAATTTTTTAACCTGCAGGGACAATAAAAGCTTAAGATCAGGACCTCACATATCGGTTTAATTAAAAGATATCCACATAAAAACATTTTAACAGGCACCATAATTTTGAATATAGTTTGGAATATCATTTGTATTGAAAAAATAAATATATGGATATCTATAAAATGATTTGAACACATTCCAAATCTGTGTGTGTATATATATATATATTACTTTTTGCAGGACTGGACAAATTGATTGACTGTATGAACATGGACAAAGTCCAGAAATTGTTTTTTGAAGACTTGCTGTTTAATGGTTTTTCCCTTCTATCTAGAATGAAAACGAATGATTCTGATGTATGCAGGTTAATAATTACTTAATTTTATCATGTTTCTCATTATTTTTAATTGAATAATGATATTTTATCGTATGTGTGAAAATTTCACTCAAAATACACAATATAGTACCATAGTACATGCAATTTCAGTGAAATGAAGTCAAAAATCAGTGCCACTGTGACGAAGCTCTCGGCCTATTGCGACCATGATGGTCTGCGAGCTCTTTTGCAGTACATTAACGAGTTGGCAGAAGAGCTACAGGACGTATTCCAAATGATTGCACGTGAATCGGGATATGGAGATATTTGCTATGACGAGTTTATGGAAGTGACGTCATCATCCCAGAGTTCCATCACCAGACGAGCTTCAGTTATGGAGAGCCGGCTTCCCCGGATCGTCCGATCTCTGCTTGGATTGTAATTTTCCACTGTTTGATTTCTCATTAAAGCAATCATGCATGGAATAAAAATGAATATTGCAAACCACAAGTATATTTTGTTCATTATTATTCAAGAAGAACCAGAAAATACAGCGCGTTTTATTACATATGTCCCAAGAACATTTGCATATAAAATCTTTATTTTTAATTAATAGAATAAAAGTTTCTTTATGGAAGGAAATGAACAATCTGGTATTTTTATGTATGATGTCAGATATGATGTCCAAAGAAAAACAAACCAAAATTTAGATATTATCTATAAAGCAAAGATTTGAAATGGAGGATTTGCCTTTTGAATGTCATTCACACAGTACTGTTGCCTAATAATGCAAAGACATATAAAGGCCAAATAAAAATGTTGTAAAAATTAACTATGTGGCATAAAAAACACACAGAAAGAAATAAATGGATTCAATTGCAGAGACCAGATTTGTGTTTAACTTACAAAGACGACATCATATATCTAGATTGCCTTATTCAAAACAATACTATTAGGAAAAGCAAGTTTAAAAAGGAGTGTTTTATGAACAGTCTTTTTTAAATTTCTATATGAAAAGACCCTACTCAAACACTGTTACATAAGAAAAGAAAAAAAAACCCATCATGTATCGACGAAGTTTTATGAATTCACAATAGTTACTTCCATTCATATGTCGAATCGGTATACATGTATCCTATGACTTTGAAATATAACTTACCATTTAATCTGCCTCATTTATGTCATATTTGAAAGTTTTATGGATTACATACAAAGAGAGCCAAGTACAACTTACAATTCTTTTCCAACCAATTTTCATCTCCTATTTTAGTTCATAAAAAAACTTGCTCAAAGTAGGACCAATTTCTTGAAAAAGGAAGACACTTTTAGATACGATAATTTAAGGTATGTTTTTAGATAGAACACTGCTTGTTATCTTTACCCTTTCAATAAATGTATAATCTGATGCACCGTTTTTTTAATACATAATCAGATCCTTCATCGTCTACAATAATGAACGATTTAAAGTATAAGTCACATTATCCAACGATGGGGTATACATGAGAAACCGATGCTTTTTTTGATGAAATGGCATGGTTGCACCATAATCGGACGGTGACGAGTCCTTCGGTGTGGTCATCGCTAGGAAATAATTCGTAGTTAAAATTCAGATGTTTGCCTCACATCGCTCCTCGTCGGCAACCCATCATTAACACATCTTTAAAGGATCGGCCGATATATGGCCACAAATATCCGTTGAATCTGACATCGGTGAGTTTAGTTGTTCAACAGACAAATTTCGAAAACACTATCTTGTACTGTTCACCAATGTATGAGCGATGTAATATACAACGGCCGATTATCCTGGAACATCGTTTTATGATTAGCAATGCATCGCTTTTGTTGTTTTTCTCATAAAACGCATTGGTTGCCCATCGTATGCACATCGCTTGATAATGTGACTAATACTTTTATGACTACTAGGCCGATGTGGACCGATGTTTGGGCATCGTTAACACCACGGATTACTACCGATTACCACCGGTCTACGGCTACCGGCCGGCAAATGTGACCTAGGCATAAATAGTATCGATTTAATGTATAAAAAACAACTTCCACAAAACAAGACATAATTGAACAGACATATCAAATGTCTTCTCAAAGGTGTTTAGGCTTAACTACACGTTCGTTGTTTTAGAGGCCGGCGTTTGCTCTGCTCTTGATTTGTATTGTTTGAATGGACCTTTGAAATTGAAAACTGTTTAATATCTCCATTTATTTCATTTTATGCAAATAAATTAACTAAACTTAAAAGAGTTATAACAGACAAAATATATTGTTTGCTCTATAAAACAAACAAAATATCTAAAATTAATTGTTGCGTCATATCTTATTTACTGCTGAGTGACATCACATTTGCAAAATGTGCAACTTGTGAAATTTGCCAATCATCAACGAGCGCAAGATTTATGGAAATGACAAATGAAATGACATTTTATTTTTATACATTTCATATATTTATGATAGCAGGAGACGCTCATTTCTCCATGGCACCTGATCCCAACTCTGATTGTTTCAAAAGACTTTTAAGATCGAATACTTTTCGTTATCTTTATATTTCATTTAGAACATTCATTACATTTAATTCATTGGTTATATAGTGTTCTAAATATTCACACACACATATTTAGACTTCGCCATACCCCTGTGGAGGGCTTGAAAAACAGATCTTTAATAGGTATACAGGGCCTATGAGTTGTGAGGAATTTTTATCATGACAATGCCTTTCCCCATGCCTGATATGATAGACAAGCTGGTGGGTGGCTGATATTATACCTACAGAAGTAAGAGGAACGACAATCCCTAACAAAAAGCCCAGGAGGAGCGAAATTCTTGAGCTTACGTTCTTTTACGTAATTATCTGAATTGACAAGTTCGATTTCTTGAATGTATGCACTTTGTTGTCAGAATAAAATCTTGCTGTCGTTTTATTTCTTTGGCTAAATATCTTTTACTTCTTGTTAGGGAACCTAGAACCTAGAACCTAGAATGATATTCACATTGTAGATTTGCAGGTTGGTCCCAACGTATAAAATTTTATGGTTGCTTCATGCTCATATGCATTCCAATTTTGTATTTTACCTTTAAAGTTTGATATTCCAAGAGTTCTCGTGTTTCTTATACACCATTTGTTTTATTATAGACAAATTGATTTATGAATTGATTTCATCTACACATTCATATTATATATTGCTTCAAAACTCAATTTAACATATAATATTTATCAGAATCTTATATCTAGACAAATATTTATATTGATATTTTGTAACAATCAAAAATCATTGAGTTCGTAAACATTTAATGAATTTTCTTATGTTTTAAAGAGTACAAGACAATAAAATCACATATAAAGTACATTCATTAGAGCCAGTTAAGTAAACTCTAAGAGTAAATAAAGTTTAGATTTTCTGTGTGAAATGAATTGGAAATGTACAATCTTCGGTCTTCTATATCACACACGAAACTTTGTCATGGCGGAGGGAATGCATTGTTAACACTGAATACTTCCAATGTACTGGGTTCACCAAAAATGAATATTTTTTGGCCCAATTTAGTTAAAAGAATTATCCTATTTAATTAAATGAAAAAATAACAATAGAAGTCATTTCCTCCAAACAGTACAAAACTGCGCTGTTTTCAATTTGTTGATTTGGTTACGATTGGATATAAAGTGAACGATATCCAAAAATAAGCAATCAGAACTGAAATCAACTCGGGTTCATAAAGTCCTACGGACAGAAAAGTATAATAAATTGAAGAAGAAATTTTATCATTCGAATTCTCACATATATGCATATATTACACGATATTTTTCTGAAGGAAAACTTGGTAATCTAGCAGATAATGTTCCGGACTTTGTATATCTTTTTAAACTAGGCTTTATAATAAACTATTTGAAAAAAAATGAATGACTTTATTGAAATAAAATAATATTTATTAGTATGGAATTCTAGTTATACACGTAGTCAATGACTGCTTCTTGTGCGCGTGTTTGCATCAATACTATTCCATATAAATGATGACTTGAAGATATAATTTTCCCAACACGGTCTACGTTTTGTTACTCCTACTAATACATTGAACAAAAGACATATTTCTGATTTATTGAAATATATCCAGGGCTTCGCCTCACCAGTGTATCTACAAAAATACACAGTATTTATGCCGCCTCCTCTTTCCAATCCTACACCTCAAAATAAGTTTCTTGATCAAAATATGATTTGTTCTGATAAAATCAAATCATAATCCCATACAAACTTTGTATAATGCAATTTCAGATTACAAAATGGACAATTATTATACAATTACAATACACAGTAAATATGCAAATTAAAAGTGAAAAAAAAAGAATTTGGTAATATTGGTAATCATTAGGTTATATGTCACACATAAAATACATCAAGTATAATAATACTACAATGACAAGAAAAAAAAAATACTTTATATCCCCCCAAAATAAAAAATAGCATGAAACAAAAGCTAAATGATAAGTATTTACAACAAAAATCGACTGGTGGCAGCATGTTGTGTAAATAGCCCCACCTAGCAATTTTGACAAGAGCCTTAAAAAAAACAGGTAAAACAAGATGTCTCTGAGCAAATGCTCACTAGAATATATTCCCGCTATTATGTGAATGTACACAAGTTCAATTACAGGCATACGCAAAGATAAATAGGAATCTGACATCAAATTCATTAAAAAAATAAATCTCATTCAAAGAGGCAATCCCAAACAAAGTATGTGCTAAAGTTTTAATCTTCTGCAATGCATATTTGATGAGAAAACTCCGATGAAAATTTGTATGGAACGGACAGACACATGGATAAACAAGAAGTTGACATCGGATTTATACAAATATGATACCCAAATATGGCATGACTCAGCAAAAATGTGCTAAAACTTCAAGCATCTGTGATGGATAGCTGCTGAGAAAAATGCGACTGAAAATTGTAACGTAGAGACACACCGACAGACACACAAGGGTAAAACAGTATTCTCTCGTCTCCTTCGGAGCGGATGTATAACAAAAATGACAAGAGGGTATTAAATACATTTACAAAACCCACATGTACAATTCACACTTGACAAGATAGGCTGAATAGGTACAATTAGCACTTTGTACTGAACAATCATCAAATTAAAAAATTATGATTTGTAATATATAAATAAAACATAATGGGTGAATGTTTTAAAAATCACAGAGTTTGAATTTTTCACCCGTTGGTTTTTAATATAATTTCAGCTGATTTCGATTAAGCTGCAATTTTCTAAGCACTAGACAAAAAGTTAATTCTGTAGAACAGATTCTCTAATTCGTTAATTAAGATTTATTCATTTAGTAACATTACAGACACTGGTAGGATTTAATTAATTACAGGTCACACCGGCATCTTCATAATGGCCACAGGAATGGGTTCCAAAACCTCGATGTTGACAGTTAGAAAGATAGGACTCTGTTCCACTACACTGGACATTGTCCAACCAGATCTGACCACTACCCTGTCCATAAAAGGCATTTGTTTGTGCTGTGGCTGTTCTGATTTTATAAAATAAAATATTTTACAATTGCAATCTTTTATTTATCACTCTCTAGTTTTTTGGGTATGCCAAGGCATCAACGATAGTTGGAAATGTGGAGAACGTGGGATAATTTGCAAAACGGACAAAGCCTTTTATGCTTAAATAACCTCACGTTTCCAGCTGTCGTTTATGTCCCTGGCATATCCAACAAACAAAGCAGCGATCCCTTATATTAACATTTATTTGTGAAATAAAATTGTAAACAGAAATTCAAAACAGCTCCCAAATAAATTAAAGATATACAAAGCCTCATAAGTCAATTTTCATATCCCAGACATTAATACAGCTGCATGAGATTCATATGTATATGGGACACTTGACTATTCACTAAGGCGAAATTTCGATTTAAGTTAAATCCTCGAGACATCATCTCTCCTAACTTTCAGAGTTATACAGAAAAACAACCAGATATGTAAATATATGTTTACAAATTACAATTTCTTGCGCTCCTTTCAACCAGAAAAACGGAATCCGCAAGATTTTTAAACCATTTCCCAATATATTTATCAGTTTGTTTAAAAATGATCATAACATTCTACGCATATTACAATATAAAATGGTGTTTCTATGCAAATTTTCTTTAAAAATATTTGTATATTTGATGTACAGAAAAAGTGTCAATTGATTTTCTTATGCATACTTAGTACCCACAGTATAGTAATACAACTGCACATTATGACGTCATATTATGTCATTGTTCTTTCCCATTCA